TTACAGGTTTGAAGAACTCTTGAAAGAACCCAAAGCCTTTGCTGCTTGAGCTCTCAACACAAACTGGTGGTAGATTGCAGCAATGGCAGCACCAATAAAGGGTCCAACCCAGAAGATCCACTACACACAAACAACATAAACGTTTCAGAACCCAATTATAATTATTTTCTATTATAGAACTATAGAACTAGCTAGAAATAGTATTAGTAATTATTTATTATAGAAACTAATGCTTATATACTTGATCATCCCAAGCTTTCTCATTGTTGTAAATAACAGCAGCTCCAAAGCTTCTAGCAGGGTTGATACCAGTTCCAGTGATTGGAATAGTAGCAAGGTGAACCATAAACACAGCAAAACCAATTGGAAGTGGTGCCAAAACCTACACATATATAACACTTTAACTATTCAAAACAAAACAACAACAAAACAGAAGATTAAAGTACACTTTACGTAACGTACCGGAACATGAGAGTCTCTAGCATTTCTCTTTGGATCGGTGGCAGAGAAAACGGTGTAAACAAGAACAAAAGTTCCAATTATCTCAGCACCTAACCCAGTTCCCTTACTGTAACCATCGTTTAACATGTTTACACCACCTTTGTATCTGTTATAGTAACGTTTCTGAAAAGCTTTTACTAGTCCAACACCACATATTGCCCCTAAACACTGAACCACCATGTATAATATTGCTCTAATCAACGACACCTTCCTCGCCAGAAATAACCCGAACGTCACCGCCGGATTTATGTGTCCTCCTGCCACCCAATCATAAGAGCGATATTAATGTCGTTCAGCGATTAATATAACTAGTTAGGTCAGTTTATTTACCTGATATGCCGGCGGTGCAATAGACGAGGACAAAGATCATGCCACCGAAGGCCCAAGCGATACCGAGGAGTCCAACTCCGTCACAGTCGGTACCGTTGTGAGCCGGATCGGTTTGTGATTTGTAGCCAATGACGGTTAGAACTGTGACGTAGAGGAAGAGGAGGGTGGCGATGAATTCGGCGATGAGGGCTCTGTAGAAGGACCATTGGCCAAGTTCGGCAGTGTCGAAGAGTGGAGCTGGTGGTGGATCATGGTAGTCTTTGTTTGGTAAACCACCTTGAGGTTCGGTTTCAGTGTGTTTTGCCATTGAAGTTGTGAGGGATGTTTGTACCTAGATAATGTTGAGGGAATGAAGCAAATGTAGTTTTTTATACATGTTTTTCACCACGAAACAATTAATCCGATTCGGACGTCAATTCTACCATCAAATCAAATAGTTTCAAGATATTACAGTGATTTATAGCGCAAATCACCACTTAGTTTGAAGTCGGTAACTTTTTACAAAATACAAATATGACAGTTAAAACTCAAGGTGAATACAGAAAGAAACTAACATCACACAAGTTTGTAGAATAAAACAAAAAGTATTACAACAATCATAACACTATGTTTCGTAAGAATTTGAAAATGGATGCGTTTTGTCTTTTTTTGGAGTGCTTTACGCTGACCCACAACGGTTACGCCTTTATTTTGCTCTGGAGTATATCTCAAGCCACCGCTTTGTCTCTTGTGTTGGTCCCACTCACATGAAGATCCTACTCACGTCCATCGTGTCATGCGTCTACAAAAGATTCGCAAATGCATTCTTTGTTTATTTTGCCACATACTTCTAGACTTAATGAATGTTCCAGAATTGTTACCTTTATGAACAAAAACAATTATGTTCAAATTTATCATTTTTAATTTTTATTATAATTTAGAAATTGTTTATGTAATTGATCTAAATAATACATTCTACATTATTTATGTGTTTTTAATTTCACAATTTTTTTAAGTAGTTGTTCACATTTTTATTTCCTTCAAATGTAACGAGAATATATTATTGTAGGACAAAAATAATATATGAACTAAAATGAATGGAAATTGTTTTTGATAAACATTTTTCGAATAATTATCTTAAAACGAGTCAGTTAAGATCTCAAATATACTGTGTTGTAGATGATATTTATTGCCAGAAAAGTGTTTTTATACTCATCTTCCATTTTCAAGATTATTAAGAGGTGTTTCCTCAAGTTTTATGTCCAATAGTAACCATAATGTCTGTCACTTTCTTTATTATCATGTAATGTCTTCTTGATATTTGTATCTCTCATAAAACCTCAGAGCTTTTTTATAACTGTTATGTTGATTCATATATGTTGGCTACCAACACGTATCTGATAACCCTAAAGTCTGGGCTCCGACTTGTTTCATCTGTGTCAGTTCGACACTTGTCATTCTCTGAAAGTACCTAACATGTTGTCTCTCCATACTCGACCTAAATGACTTATAAATTGACTTCAAGAATTCCAGGATGTACATAAGCCACCCGATCACGAGGCCCAACAAAATGAAGTTTTCGAAGAAAGAGTCCTGGAATTCCTTCCTCCTTGAATCGAGTCGTATTTTTGTTTAACGATCACCTTTATGGTACATTAACATGTGACATTGGATTTTAAAAGAGTAATAATGACAATTGTTTTGTCATATTTCTTCTTTCTCTTTGTCATGATGATTTTTATGGGGAAGTTAATTGTTATCATGACTTTAGTTGATAGAATTTCCTAACCATTGCAAAGTTCACTTCCATAAAAATTATTTCCTTCTTTATTCTGTTGCTCATCGTTTATAACTCTCGTCCTCTTTTCTTCAAGATTTGATAGCTAGGTTTTTTGCGCTTTCTACCAATTATTTTTACAAACACAAGTCTCAGGTATTATTTCTTTGCCTTACTTACTCTTTTTTTTATTCTTTTATTATGGTTACAATACGCGAGTGTGATGATTAGGGGAAAATAACGATTTCCCTTAATGCCCGTGAGAGAAAAAAACTCTAGGATGAATGCATGAAAGAGTGTGAGGGCCATCTAGAGGAAGCAGAATTTGATCAAATTATTAAGAAAGTTTACAATGACATTTCTTCACCTTATAGTAAAGCTGACTCGGAGTCTCATTCGTTAGGTTATGTGGACATTTTGATGGAGATGGAAGGATCTTTTATTGACAAATAAGTCTTAAGTTACAACCACAACATACTTGACGACAATTATATTTAAAAACTCTGATGTAACAGAAAGATCTCTTCAATCGGTAATGAAAAAGAAGTTGTGCTGGAACCTTGTGTGATCAGTGAAAGAGTTTGTATAATTCAACCAAGTGGAGTATCAGAAAAATACTTTTATTTCTATTCAGGGATAATTGAGGATTTTAATATATGTATCCCTTTTATTGATTTAGAATCCGATCTCCTTAAAACCCTAAACATTGCCCATTCTCAATTGTGCCCAAATGGTTGGGGCTTTATTAAAGGTTTTGAACACGTCTGTAAGGCAGTGAATATACTTCATACTTTAGGGTTGCTCTTCTCTTTCTTTGAGTTGAAAGGAGCGGATAAAGGATAAGGGGTTTTCCTTAGTGGAATCACATGGAAAAGTTTCCTCCAGGCCTACACCATCAATAACAAAGGTTTCAAGGATAATTTCTTTGAGTAAAAGGTGGGACAAGATGTCCTTAGGTTACGTATGGGTTGGATGGATATCATCACTTCCCAATCTATTGGGCAGATAACGCACTATCGGTGTACAAATTTGATTATGATAAGCTAGACGCTTTGGAAGTCTGAGCTTTAGCTATCCTAGATGCCTTTCGGGTAGTAAAGTTCAAGGATTTACTAAACATGACCGATGATTCGGAAAAAATTTATATTTTTTTAGATAATGCTTATATGTCTCTTGTTATAGTCTAACGATCTATTTATTTCATTCCCTCTAATATTAGCTTCCCATTCTTTTTTTCATCTGAAATGACAAACCTTAACCTAACGGAACAAAAGAAGCTAATGGCTGAAACGAGGGAGAGTAATCTGCCTCCAAGATCGAATTGAGTCGTTAAAAGAAAGAAAGCAAATGCCGGTAAAGTAGCCCCAAGTGTCTCGGAGCCCCAAAATACCTCTCTTCCCCTTCATGGAGGCTCGAAGCCAAACTCCCCAAAGAGGATGAAAACTTTGATGGGTGACCCTATAAGTCTTGTCGATTTAGCAACCACCACTCTAATGCAGGATTCTAGCGGCAGCCACAAATCTAATTTTTCAACCAAATTCAAGTTTTGGTCCAACAATTTTGATGGCTCGAGGTTTCTTTATGATCACCTGAATGCAACAAAAGACGTCGAGAAGGTGAAAACCATAGGTGCTCAGCAACTAACTCAAAATATTGGGGTTACCTAATGAGGTGTGTTGATATGACCTAGGGACTGTTTGAAGTCGCTGATGGCTATGAGCAAAAAACGATTTGTCTCACAAAGGAGATAACTCAATTGAAGGATAATGTTAAGGTTCAGACTGATAAGGTAGAGGATCTGACCAAACAACTGTCGGAAGAGAAGAGACAAAAAGAAACTGCATACTCTAAATTTTTGGAACTTGAAGGAACCACGGTTGGCTTGATCCAGGATGTTGAACATGCTCTAGGGCTTAATGAGATGCTAAAGAAATCCTTACAAGAGGCTCAGGTAAACCTTCTTTCATCTGGAGATGAGGCTTTCGAGAGAGCCAAAGCTCAAGTGTTATGCTTCAAACTTGACTTCAATGTTTTTGAGATGAATTTCTTCAAGACCATGGTGGATGGTCGACTTATAGATATGGAGGAAGCTTCTCCTGAAGCTGAAATTTATAAGGATGTGATGACTGATGATCCAACCCCTGTCGCTCAAGAGGATGAACAACATGATGTTGAAGTTTGTTTATTTTTTATTGTTAGCCATCCATGATGATGCGCTTTTTTATAATGTTTGAATAATGTCCATTTTATTTCCACTACAATGCTTAAGCCCCTCTGAGATATTTTCTTGGAAATATTATTATTATCTTGCATGCATTTTATCATCGTTATTCCCTGACTGCGTGTATAGCCTTGGGCATATCTTAAATTCCCCATGTTTATATTTTAGTGGTATGCATCAGAACCCGACGTTGAGGCATATCAACTTGTCCCCCCTTTACTTAAGTCATAGATCTTAAGTGAACAAATTGACTTGTTGGAGATTTTACTTTAGACCTTTTGGTTAGGTTATCGAATAATATAACTGGTTTTCTATGAGTTCTTGTTGTCTTTAGATCTTTGATTTGGTCAAAAGTTTTATTAACATAATCCGACCAAAGGTTTTTATTTGCATGGCCAATTTCCTAAAGGTTTTTATTTACTTGGGCTTTCGATTTGGTCAGAGGTTTTATTAACATTACCCAGCCAAAAGTTTTTAGTTACATGGTCGATTTGATTGGGTCAGAGGTTTTATTAACATAACCCAGCCAGAGATTTTTTTTTACATGGCCGATTAGGTCAGAGGTTCTATTAACATAACTCGACCAAAGATTTTTTTTACATGGCCGATTAGGTCAAAGGTTTTATTAACATAACTCGACCAGAGATTTTTATTTACATGACTGATTTAATTAGGTCAGAGATTTTATTAACATAATTGGTTAGAGGTTTTTATTTACACGACCGATTTGATTAGGTAAGAGGTTTTATTAACATAACCCGACCAGAGGTTTTTATTTACATGGTCGATTTGATTAAGTTACCAATGATGTCGAGTATGCTTATTGCTCCTGGGAATAGCTCTGTTTTAGTGTAAAAAATTAGAAATAATAACACATAACCATATGAATTAAGGGTGCCTCATTAAAAACCCTTGCCATTGTTAGGGAAAAAAAGTGTTACCCTCAATTTTTATTAAATAGTAACATTACATAATGTTAACTATAGTAAAATCTTAGGCTAGAAACATTTCAAGCCCTTGGTATTTCCACTTCTTCCATACTCTCAAGTTTATAAGCTCCATTATTTAACTTCTATCGAATTCGATAAGATCCTTCTCAGTTTGCACTACTACGAAAAAAACATATCACAACGATTGAAAAAGGGATACAACCACGCGGGTCCAACCTTTATGTTGTAAGGTGTGATTGTATGTATGATGATTTCTACCACAATCGTGCAACCGTGATTGTATCCATGTAGCCCGTTACCTACCACAACGGTAACTTTAACCAACCACTGTGATATTATTTAATGCAACATATTTAATCACAGTTGTTCTAAACAACTGT